GGATAATTTCCCTAATGGAATATCCAACCTTGCCACATTTCTAGCAAAAGCAGATTTTATTTGTTATGTTTTAGGAAGATGTCCAGGCCTGTTCAGGTTTGATAACATATTAACAAACATTTATTGAATGATGTGATCAACCATTTGTTTCTGTTTTAGTTGATATCTGGTCTGCATCATGGTGAAGATGTTGCTTGGAAGGACACATTTTAAAGGAAATGACCATATCCAATTTCTGCTTTCATGTGTTCTGTTGATTTTCATGATTTCAAATGATTTAATTTAATGGAAAAATGCACAATTGATGCATGTGTGTATCCATCCATACAGGTTTAACAACTATATCATAGGCCTTTTCATAAAGAAAGTCTTTCTTGTTCCCAAATGCAAATTTTGGGGATATTGCACAAAAAGATGCGTATAAATTCCAAAAATGTGCATCATAAAACATGCAGGCATATATATATATATATATATATTTTTTTTTTTTTTAATCTGTTAAGGCATGCGTAGGCTATACCATGATGGAAACACATTTACTGAATAAATCCCTCAATTCACAACAAAAAACTCATGTGAATCTGCCTCAACAGAGGATGTGATTGGATAACCGGACTAATCAGTGGACCAATCGCATCGCAGAGCATCTCAAAGATTGATTTGGTATTTTCGCAATTCTGACCTAGCAAATGCACGTTTATATATCGCAATTATGAATTTACATCTCACAATTCTGGTATAAATTCAAGGTATACGGTGACTATTTAGCTCACAATTCTGACTTTTCTCACAATTGCAAGTTTGTATCTTCCAATTATAACTCGCAACCGCAAGAAAAAAGTCAGACATTTAATTTACTTTACAGAAGTTATTTAGTAATGCAATTGTTGACCCATAAAATGCCATGTTAGCATTTAACACCACACCTTTTTTATTAAGAAAAAATCCATCTGTGTCTCATGATTTAATACCAGTGTAATTATTTGAGAATTTGCCTAAACAAATCTGATTGTATTATTTTAAAAAATCTACTATAAAGTCAAATAATATTTTTTTATCTTATCTCAGTACAATGAGCCTTAGCCTTCTCTGAGTAAATTTACACCACTTATCTTTCATTAAGTTTAGCTTTCAAAAACAAGCACTCAAACAAAACTAACATAGCAATGTTTAACGTACAGCTTATCTATGTTTACTGTACACATACTAATAATCCATGATCCCCTGATAAAAATGAACAAAGCATCACAGTTAAGCAGGTCAGATTGGCTGAACTGTGTCAAAGATTCTCCAAAAGAGTCAATAACATAAATTTAATTTGACCTGGCACACTTTTGCATACTGTCAAAATATTAGTATATTAAAAGTCTAAATATAAAGGGCAAAAAACACACATTGTGTCCAAAAATGCACATGATATACTTAATTTAGCATGCAACTGTTGAAAAATGGGCAAAAAATTATACTGTAGGGATGAAAAGTATCATATGTGACCGTGGACCACAAAACCAGTCATAAGGGTCAATTTTTCAAAATTGAGATGTATAACCTGTGCTACTTGTGACAGCTTTTGTGCTCCAGGGTCACATATTTAGTTTGTAAATGAGCAAGAGACAAAATTCCTCATCAATAGTACTTGAGCTAAAGTATGAATTCTAAAAAACAATGCTTTTGTTTTATTAATGAAATACAATACAAAAGTACCTATATATAATCAGAACATCACGTTTCCCTGCCTAAGCCAACATCACAATCATCACGAGGACCGGATGTGGGAGTAAAGACACCTTTGATTCCAGTTCAGACAAACGTCAATTATTTTGACCAAAAATCCACCTTTGAGTGTCCACCACACCACATCTTGACAGGAATGAGCAGCTACCGCAAACGGTGAGCTCTGATTTTGGACTGTTTTCACACCGGGCCGATGTCATTACTGTGTTTTCACACAAGTGGCAGTTTTACTGCTGTAGAAGTATTGACCTCTGTATCGCTGACTGTGAGTGGACTACTGTGAACTGCTTTGATGAGTATTTCCACTGGACTGTACCAAACCATAGCTACCTGCTGGGTGCTGAAAGCTACCATGACAATAAACACGAGTAAGTACAGCTCCCCAAAATAATCCGACATGCTCGTACACAGGCTTCATATGAGGGATTGTTTTGAAATAATGATTGGCTGCTTCCTTATTACAAGATGCAAAACGCAATTTATTAGCAATTATTGTCTGCATATTTATAACTATTCACACACTCCACCTTCTCGCCATTAATTTAAGTTCTTTCAGTTAAGAAATCTTAAACCTAACTAACTAAATTAAGATCAAGGCCAAATTTGGTTGTTAATTTGTCTATTAAAATATGAGGGTATTAAAGGGGACCTATTACGCCTCTTTTCACAAGACTTTTTAAAGGTGACACATCATGAAAATCTGACTTTTCCAGGTTTTAAGTGCTACGTATAATCAGGTCCCCGGTGCATCTACCAACCAAGGAAACGTGAAAAAGATTAACCCAGTAACTTTGTTTTGGGAAGCCTTTTTCTGCAAGCGTCTGAGAAAACGAGCGCGTCTGATTTCGCTCTCTTGGTGACGTGGCAAAGGGATCTCATTATAATATCACCGCCCCTTAATCTGTAAGTTTCCACCCACGGCGCCGTTATTGTGTTTTCACAAGCGACAACGGTGTAGCAGCTCTAATGCCATGGAGAAAGTTTGAGCAAAACATGCTAACTGTTCTGTGTTTGGCTGCACAGACGAGCACAGAACACTGTTTAGAGTCCCAGCCTCAGAGGAGACAACAGAGCAGTGCATTTATTGATTTATTTACTGTATATTGCTGCTGCCACACAGATCTAAAATAAACTGCAGACACCAGAGACTTATATTACATATTGTAAAAAGGGGCATAATATGTCTCCTTTAAAACATTTAATAATGAGAGATGTTAATGCAATTGGCCTTAACTCATTGAATGTTGCAGCATGTGTGGTCTTCGACATTGTGACCTGTCCTGTCTTGAATTATTTGGTTAATTTGAATATTGATAAAAGTGTTCAGAAGACGTAAGTATGATGCTGGAACCATAATAGCACATGAAACTGCCTATTTCAATACTAATATGATGGGGGTTTTTTTACATGCTTTTCAGAGACCGACGCTGGAAGTACAAGTATTGTACCAAAGTGCAATGCTGAGACTCTCACAAATTCCCTCAGATGCAAATACACTCAAATTCAAATCTGAAATGAAGACAAGATGGAAACATACAGTCATTATTGACCTAAGAATTTAAGAAGAAAATGCTGATAGGTCTAAGACTGTAAATGTATATGAGAGGGTCTTGAAGTACTGTAAAATCAGCCAATATGAAATAAAATTGGGTTCCAGGTGTTCTGAATGAATCATAATTATTTCTAATTGATAAAATAATTAGTGTTTGAACAATAGCAACGTATATAGAATATGAATACCTTTTTTTCAGGAAGAGATACAAAAACTAATTTATGTTACAGTGTAAATAATTTTATCAGCATAATAATAGGAGTGGAAATTTGAATAGAAACATTTACATGAATTTCAGAATGTCTTCAGCGTTACTTAAGATGTTTAATGGAAGCAAGAACATCTGTCATCTGAACAAAGAAGTTTACAGTGTGTACAATGTTTACAGTCGTCTTCTATTTATGACTGACAATATTAGACGAGTAAATGGATAAATATATTACTTTAAAACATATGTTTGCTCTGTGAACCCTTATCTCAACATGAATCTATAAGACAATATTTCCCAACCCTGTTCCTGGAGAAAATACAACAGTACATATCTACAATATTTTACTAATCAAACACCCCTGATTCAACTCATCAGCACGCAATAAAGAAACAAACCTTGGATTCAGTTGCTGAATTAAATTACAATTAAATTAGCTGTATAAGCCATTTCAACTTAAATTATAATAAACTGTTTTTAAAAAAAGTTGAAGCTTGTGTAACTAATAAAGTTGAAACTGCTTAACTTGTTTTGATGTATCTTTCAATGTAATACATTTTAGCACAACATGTAAATGTAAAGTACATTTAAAAATAAAAGGTACAAGCTTGTATAGGCTTATAATGTGAACTCAACATTCAGCTTCAAAAGGTTACTAATTTTGTGATTATGACATGCCCTATTATTTTGAGCTGCTTTTACCAGACGTACATTTTAAAGTTGCACACTCTTAGTCAACAAAGATCAATTTTTAAAAAGCATTGGCATTTGTTATCTTCTGATCCGGAGTTAAGTGCTCTGTTTCAACACCCTCCGTTGATCGTAGATTTTTATTTTAGCAATACGATCAGAGGTGCTTTTCATTTTTGTACATAATTAACTAAATAGAAAATAACAAACTAAAGATATTATTGGGCTGTGCAATGCCACTGAAAACAAAAATGACATTTCAGAGAAAATGATATGATAAATAATTGCATGGCTATTTAAATTGTTTAAGACTGGGTTTAGATTTTTTTTTTTTAAATATACTGTAAAGGAATAGCACTTTTTTTTTCATTATGTAAAAAGTGTTATTGCATTTTGAGCTGAAGATTGTATTATAAACATTTTGTTACATTACTTATAACATTATTAGCAGTTTTGACATTATGTGTTGCTACATACTATAAAAACAATAAGTTAAATTCACTTTTTCTTTTGCAAGGTTTTGCATGCAGATTTTTTTTTTAAGTAACAGAGATTTCACAATATTGGGTGCACAATGACAAAAACATAACATGGATCATTTACAAAACAGCACGAAAGGTTTCTCTATAGAAACACTCTCCTGTGTGATATAATCAATTACATCAAATGAATGCCTTAATTTCTACAAGCATAAACTGAGTACTAATATAGAATTTACTTTTTTTTTTTATTCATGCCTGAACTAACTCATGCGCACACACACTCACACGTTTTCAACTTTCAGAATTTAACACAGAGATCAGCCACAGTTTTGCTTTCAACTTGCGTCTATTTCAGAGGATCAAGAGAGAATATTCATCATGAACTGCGAGAGAATATTGAATCTCAGAATCAACATCTGTACTGGACACAGACCTTATACCTCCATCGTCGATCTCTGAAAGAAGTGCAACATCAGTGAGCAACAGAGCACACAATCTGACATGCTTGACTTGAAATAGCTTCGCATATTACTTATCAGAAATAACATAATAAGTAAATAAATTACACCCACTCTTCATGATTTTGATGGTAGCTCTGAGCTCCCACCAGAACGTTGCTGGAAGGCGCAGTCCAGGTGAAGTACTCATCAAAGGAGTTCACATACGAGGTCCAATGACAGTTTTTAGTAACACATGGACTTCTACAGCAGTAAAACCGCCAGCTGTGTGAAAACATGCATCAGCTCAAAGATATGACCCTGGACCAATTTTTTTAAATTGGGATTTATACATCATCTGAAAGGACAATATTTGGCCGAGATGCAACTATTTGAAAATCTGGAATCTGAGGGAGCAAAAAAATCAAAATATTGAGAAAATCAATCAAGTTGTCCAAATGAAGTTCTTAGCAATGCATATCACTAATCAAAAATTAAGTTTTGATATATTTATGGTAGGAAACTTACAAAATATCTTCATGGAACATGATCTTTACTTAATATCCTAATGATTTTTGGCATTAAAAATAAAATCTATAATTTTGACCCATACAATGTATTGTTGGCTATTGCTACAAATATACCCCAGCGACTTATGACTGCTTTTGTGCTCCAGGCTCACAGAAGAGTATCAGTGGATCAGAGCTCACCGTCTGTCCTCAAAGTAGTCGTTGTGGTAGCTGCTCATTCCTGCCATCACATGTTCTGCTGGACACTCAAACAGGAGCGCTTGGTCGAAGTCGTTGACGTAATTTGTCCAGTAACATTCTGCGCTCTGGCCAAAGGTGGCTTGGCAGCCAAAGTCCCAACGCCGGTCCTCATGGTGATTGCTGTTTTCACTTTGTTAGCATAAGTTTGCATGAAGAAAAAAAAGCAAAATCGCATATTTTAATTGCATTAATATTTACATTTAAATTTTGACATTTCAGGAGTTTTCTAACAATTTATTACGTTCATCCATGGCAAAGCTAACCCTAACATACACAGACACCCCGACACCCGCAAATTATACACGATATCCCAGAAATCAAGCAAAGTGTTCAAATGCATTTTTGGTGATTCTGTCAGAAGTTGTCAACAGTGATGCATTTACCATTTGCACTTGCGTTTTGAATGCTTCTCCTTCTGTTCGGAATTCATCAGAATGAACCGAACCAAACAGGGGTTTTTAAATGATGATTTAATTTAAATCATTTAAACTGATGCCGGAGAGTGCCATCTCCCGGAAATGAGTTTTTGCGGGGTGGGATGTCTGCACACTACTTGTGAATTTTAGTATTTGTTTATAAAAGTTGACTGTGCATTAATAAGCGGTACTCACCTCGTAATGGAGGATATTGACTGCCCTGCAGGACAGTTAAAGTTTAGAGGCCCGTCATAGTTGTTCTGCCAGCCTGTGTGGAGATCAAATTCAGTTTGGAATCAATTCAAATATCAATTAGCACAAAAAGAAATGCTGCTACATTAATTAAAGTCACTCACCTTGTGCACGGCCCAAAAGTCCAGTCAGAAACAGAAACAGAGCAACTTTCTTCATAGTGTTCAGGGATGCAAATGCGATTCTACGCTGTTGCTGCGCAAACAGTTTTGACAATGTCTGTCATGTGTGTTCTTTTAAATGCTTTATCACATGACTAAATCCAGCAGTGGCCAATCATGAGTCGGAGTCAAAACTAAATGTTATTTTACATATTATTATTTGTGATTCATTTGAAAACACCCCGAAATAACATTGTATATATTTCAAAGACCTGTCTCTTATAGTTTTTTTTTTAAGTGTAAAGATTAAGCCAAATGAAACTTGCAGAGTACAGCAAAATGATATATATTTGAGTGAACTGTGTATTTGAAGCTTACATTTTGTACAAGTTTTGTAATTGTCTCACCTTGAAAGTTTGCATCTCTGTGTGTCGCCGTTATTTGATACATTATGTGCTGGTGTTACCTTATGAACTGTGATTACATTATAAATTGCTGCAGTGTGTTTATAATATAATACATTTCTCATATACTACAGTATTATATTATGTGAAAAGTCATTTTGATTGTTAGTACACTATGAGCTTACACAATATCATATTTTTCTACATTTTTAGAAAAATATTATAGTATGTAAGGAGGATTAGGACTGGCAAGCTAATCAACCTCAAATAAATAAATAAAATAAAAGTGCCAAAACTATCAAAATCTATTCCACAATGTCCAGCACAATTGGGGTAAAAAAGGTGCATAAGATTTTTGTGGGTCTACCAATAATGTAAAAATGCTATAGTACCAGTAATAATGGAAACTGGGCATGAAAATTGTTTCTGCTACAGAATAAAAAAAAAAATAATAAAAAATAAAAAAAAAGATTTATTGCAACTTTTTATTATGATTTCATTCTCAGAATTATGAGGTATAAACTCAAAATTGCAAGTTATGAAGTCTGAATTGCAAGATCGCAATTCTGATAGTTTTCTCACAATTGCAAGTTTTTTTTTTCCTATACTTTTTTTTAGTTGTAAAGTCAGAATTGTGAGATATAAAACAAGAAAATATCAGATTGCCCCCCCCCC